GTTAGATCTATCGTTTTTACGGTTTACATTTTTAATATTGTTTAAATTGGTGGACTAGATAGGTTTTAAAGTTGCATAAATTTGTTTGATGACTATAGATGCCTTGCACCATACGATAATTTTGCAATTGCGTCGTCATCCCGAGCTTACGGGAATAGAACTGCATTATGTGGTACCCCACGGAATGATTCTTACAAGTTCCAGGAGCAGAAGCAGTAGGTTTACCGCAGACTTTGCATGGATGCGTTTTTTGGATTTCCAGTGTTCATAGCATCCTCCAGGGGACGATAACCACAACTACAAATGTTACCAGAGTTATGTAGATAATTACATATATATTTATTTAAACAAAAAGTTTAGCGACTTACTCAAATAATTCAAACAGTCAAGGAATAGTTGTACATGTCGGGATAGTATAATGTTAATGCAACCGCGGCCCCCTTTGTCAGTGCCACACTCAGTACCACATTCAGTACCCCCCTCCTCTCTAATCATAATAGATTATTATAGGGCATGGGAAATCGGGACCACATGATTTTGGGGATAGGTATATATCTGAGTGGGATAGGATATAGCCGAGGTTGGGATACAATAGGGTGATACAAATGAGGTAGGACTGTACTAGTAAAACTGTTTCTTGTCCCGCAAATGTTCATGTTTCATCCATCTTTGATGTTTGAAATGAGTTTTCTAACTCTTGTTCTAAATAAAATTCTAACTCGATAAATGAATTTTCCTATCAAAAATAATGGTTAAATAAACTGCCTTTAGGTTTACAGTACGTAACAAAATCTTTATTTACTTGTCAAATTATTAATTTATTCTTTCACAATTAATTAGAACCTATTCGCAACGCCTTGCTTTTTTTCTTCTTGTTGCATATTTTGCTATCAAAAATCAGTTACACACATGCGCGCAACAGAGTTATCAACCGTTTTTGGATAAATTTTGTCATTTCGATAAGAAGTATTCTGCCAGTAAATTAATTGAGTGAAACGACAGAAAGATATACAGTCAACTCTCTCTATAATAGGTCCCTCTCTATATATAATCACACCATATGAAAACTCTTTCTACCCATTGTCTCCCACTGCCAATTTCTTAATACATAAGGAATTCCTTCTCTCTATAGTCACATCTGTCTATATAGTCACCAGTTTTTCAAAATTGCATATGTGACAAAATGGTGTGATTATAGGGAGTTGACTGTATAAGTAGTCGTAGTTTCACCATCTTCAGCATCCTTCAATATTTTTTATTTGATAATTGTTTTTATAACTCCTTGCAATTAGAATAGTCTATAAACAGAGTCGATCTTGCCATCGATTTTCGTAGAATCTTTGACATTAGAATTATTATTTAATTCCTTTAAACGCGTTAGTATAGTAAAAATTTCCCCGACCTATGTAGGCTTTGAAATTAATCCCTTCGTGATATTACAAACCGGTCACTAATTGTCATTTATGGGTTTAACATTGGTAGAGATAGTCAAAGGCCTCGTGCGAAGAATTAGATCTCAAGATCGATATACGAACGCTCTCCCTCGTGTATTGATCCGACAGTAGATAGTAAAAAATTTAGATAATAAATAACATTGAGTAGCAGGAAAAAACTGCCATCATGTGGGCTAGGGCTCGGAAATTTCTCCCTTGAAACCCTGTTTCTTACTTAGCCGGCTGAGCTCTTTCTAATTATTCATATTACATAATAATAATAAATTTCGATTGAGTTTTAAATTATATTATATGAAAAATAATAAAGTTAATTTTGTCATTAAAAATAAAAGTATTTGGTAATTTTACAAACACATTACATTTGTGAGAAGTGATACAATGAAACACTTTGCATAGTAAAATATCTGCTATTAAAAACTGTGAGGCGATAAAATTACGAATCGTTTTAACGATAGTAATTATCTTTTGCTTGGCAAAATTTTAGATAGAAGACATTCCATACACTGATGGATGATTCATCACAGTCAAAATTATTTCATCTGATGGGTTAATATCATTAGCAACTCATGTGGTTGGTTGATGGTGCAAAAAATTATAATCTACAAGTGAATCAACTTGTTTAGAACCAATTTCTTTGATCAAGTCATCTTCTAAAATATATCTGATTCCCTGCCTTTGCTATTGCTCCATGGTTTTGATTAAATCACAGTCTTTCCAAAGTGGTGGATCGGGCTTAGAATATATCAATTTCTTAGGATAAAGACCGTGTTTCATTCTGATTCATAAATTGAAAATCTACTATCTGTAAACCAGCATTAGAGAAATTAAGTGACGGTTCCATACGGGCTTGGATATAAATGGTGACATGCCCTGGTTGCACTCGCCGTCCAGAGGATGCATAATGAAAACAAGTATCAGATTGTCTTTAAAAATCATGCCAGATAAACTAGAATGATACAGCATTTGTCTTTGTTTATTCTTGGTAATACTGGATAGTACAACAAGTACATTATGTGTCTTACAATCATCAACCTCCTATAATGTGCTCATACGCCAGATCTATGGATGACTTTGCGAGAATTCTTGTATTGAAGAGTCTCTTGTCGGACCAAAATGTCTAATGCACGTCTTACAATTATATCGGAATAGTTCTACAAGGACAGAAACGCTTTCGTGTTACTGAAGCTTCAAAAAAATTTAGATGGGGCAATAGATCACGATACCTTTGAGAGTTCCTTTAATAATGTGGCGGCTGACACACTTGATCCAACAGGAAGACGATTGCGAACGTCCCTTGTGACATTTTGGACTTCAAATATCACTTGTGGCTGTGTCAATCCTTCAACTATCGAGTGTATTTGATGTCAATTCACAATATCATAAATGTACTAGACATTATTTGAGATTAAAAACATAATAACCTTCTCCAGTTTGTAAAGCATCCATAGTCGATCGCTTAAACAATCGTATTGCCTCATCAACATGTTCCTCGGTAGCAATTGGTGACAGCGTCAACTTCGCTAACGCTTCTGATATTCGGACAATGGCTTCTAATTGTCTGCATTAATTAATATAGTTTAATCCATCAAAGCGTATGTCAGGAAATAATAAAATCACATGATACGAATAGCACCTTATTGTGATTGGAATCGATGAGCGCTCTCTCATATCTTGCTCAACACGTCGAACTTCGCTCCGAATAGAGACAAAATGGCTACTCAGTTTCTCCGCAGCTGCTGCACTTAATCGAGGCGCACATTTCCTGTATCGAAAGACTGTTTAGTAAAAATGGGGAGAATAGTATTGACGACAATATAAAAACATATATTTACGTTCGACAGTAAGCAATGTACTTCTTCATTTTCTCAATATCTATTTCACCACCTTCTGCTGATTGCGGATTTGCGCGGTTCATATGTACCAACATTACGTGTCTTGCTATTGTCTATCAGAGCACGTACCATTCAGAGCGTTAGAAATTCCGAACAGCGTTTGGTAAGATGACAAAGTCTTCATCTCGTACCCGATCTCTATCTTCCTCGTGTTCGTCTTTGATGATAAATATCATGTCAAATCTCGACAAAATAGTAGCTTGAAAATCGATATTCTATTCATAATACAAGAATATCAATTACAATTCATCAATCATGCCACTTAACAACAGACGTCTTCATACCTCACCCGGCGTCTTCATATCATCGTAGCGACCAAATATAGGATTAGCAGCAGCAAGTACTGAAGTTCGTGAATTTAATACTGTAGTAATGCCAGCTTTTGCAATAGATATTGTTTGCTGTTCCATTGCTTCATGAATAGCAACTCGGTCCTCTTCACGCATCTTGTCAAATTCGTCTATACATACTACGCCGCCATCGGCTAACACCATTGCCCCCCCCTCAAGATGGAATTCACGCTACAATGAAAGTGCGTTATAGTTATAATATTAAAAGTAAACTGTTATGAGAAAACTAAATTACTATACTCACTGATCCTGCATCACGTATTACAGATGCTGTTAGACCGGCAGCACTACTGCCCTTTCCTGAGGTGTATACGGCAACCGGTGCAACCTATTCATTCAATTACGATTCAATTAATAATACAAATAATCCGTCTAAAGAAAGTTAATTTACTTTTCATCTGACAGGTAACCTTTTCGACAAACTTTAAAAGCTGACTCTTGGCAGTACCAGGATCTCCTAAGAGTAAGACGTTAATGTCTCCTCTTAACCTCATATTATCTGGTAGGACCTTCTTGCTGCCTCCAAACAATAGACAAGTTACGGCCTTCTTAATATCTGATGAATTTTATATTATTGTTTGAGTCTCGATAAATATAATTTCCTTAGCGATCATTACTAGCAAAGCGTCAAAAGATTTACCCGTATTTCCATAGATAGATGGTGCAATACTATTTGCAAACATCTCATAAAAATGTGGCTGTTTTGACATGGCAATAAATTCCTCCTGTTCTTCAGGCGTAAAGGATTTCTCTCCGCGTCCATACGAATCAGCATCGAGTTGCATTCCAACCACAAGAATATATGGGTTACGGATGGCGACTCCGGTAGATTTCTAATAAATAGAAGCGTCAACAAAGACAACAAAAAAAAAGGAGTTCATAGATTCACTTCTTGCATAGTTGAAGACTAATAGTTAAACAATTTCGCGGTTTGAAACATACCGAAGATTTGTTTTGAAAAATGTCATAAGTCCCTAAGACGGCGACGCGCGTTCCCGGTATGACCAGATTAGCTAAATCACTAGGTATTTTCAAAAATGTTAGATATACGTTCATTTTACGTAAATGCACTTCTTGCTATCGCATGTTACCGGTCACAACTTAGCAGCATATGGCGGGGCAAGTCTCCGACAGGTACTAAATCTGGCGCCTCCTGCAATTTCAGTATTTGTTGATCTACAAAGTTTGATTTGTCATGCACAATAAAGAATGGATCTAAACCACATTCTTTAGGACCCGCTTCAGACCGATCACTTGTATGAAATGAACAACATTTGTTATCAATTTATTTCTTAAACGTTCGTCAACATGCTATGCAGGTGGAATTACTACCTGTCACAAGTACGCGGTAACGTTATACCCGAGAACCCACTGTGTACGGACAGCATCTTTGTATGTCGACAAGTCTTACATTTGATTTGAACTTGCGTAGCCTTTGCTGACAATGATGAAGCAGAGATAATGATTCCCCGAATCCTGACTAGCTTGGATATATGATGTGCCTACAATTTACACGAGTTATAACATCGATGAACATACGTCTTGCAAAAGCACGAATTTTAGTTAGAACCCACATCAAGGTGACGCATCTGCATTGTCGCGTCTGTTTCGCATCTTAAAATAACTTGCAAGTTACGTAGTTCGTTGGGTAGTTCACTATTGGAATCATCTTCTTCGCGTTCTTCTAAGAGAATCTTTCTCGCCACCTTCTTTGCAGCAGTTTCAAACTAGATTCAATAATGTTACCATCAATAAGTAGTTTGAACGATCGTATGTAAAACAAACAACAAGTTCCGCAAATATACCAGAGGTAACAATTCCCGGGGCCTATTGACAAGCTTCTCTTCAAGACCTTTTTGTAAATGAGAATTTATCAGGTCTTCCAAAACGATTTCAAGGTGATATTTCTGCACATGAAGGTTTCGACGAAGTTGTTCCCTACATATCATCATCAAGCGTGCTTAAGTTCAGCCCTGTTCTCATCGACATACGACACCGAGATTGCTAGTTTGTACCTGTATATGAATTCCGCTCCAACCCTGTAGTTCTCTACAAAATCCGAAAATTTATCTTCGAGTTCTTCTAGAGAGTCTACACGACTTCTCGAAGAGTTGAGGTTTGACCCATATATTTGACCAGAGTCCCAGCCGATTGTTGACATTGTACACAAGTTGTAGTATTGACCAAGGGATTGATGAGAATTCAAAGTATTAAGTAGAAGTTGACAGACTATCTGCAAAGTATTGTCGGGGGAAAATGTTAATCGCGACGCGATCCATATTGTGTAACGTGTGATATGCAGTAGTCCCGTGAAATGATTCAGCCAGGTTCTCACCAAAGAAATAATCATTATTCTGAAACCTCAAAGAGAGACAGTATCAGCTAATCCGATTTTAGATGTTCTGTTCATATTGGTTCGAACAAACGGGATCACACTAAACAAGTGTCATTACAGTAATGCATATTAGAAAGTGTTCGGATACCATCAACAAGAAAATATGTATCCTGATGGCATATTAACTGTTCAATGGAATGAAGACATGAAGCCAGTTGTAGATTAATTTATGTCATAGCTATTATTCTCAATGAGTTAATATGAAGAATACTAATCTAACTGTTGTGATACATAAAGCGATAGGTTAGTTGCTATTTTTTTTTTTCACATGATGGAAACGCATCAACATGATTATTTTATTGGATGATAAGAATGACTAGTCTATTCAACAGCAACCCAATATCCATCCTTCTACGTCTGGTAGAAGTATTTTTTGTCTTTAATTATAATTGTTATTATTTTGTATTGTCTATGAATTACATTTTAATGTATGGTTCATCATTAGAGAATAAGTACTTTAACAAATCTCTAAGTCTGAAGTTGCTCGAGAATAACGTAACGTCGTTTGGTTTAGAAAACATTAGTAAGAATAATTGGTCTTGCTTAGAGAAGATTTATGTTAAGTCAGAAACGCGTGTTTCAATGTAAACAGCAAATGGATATCCAATTATTCAACGATCCCTCTCACTTTAAGAGATCAAAACAATCCACCCAATTACGAAATAAAACAAAACTAATGGATACACAGCCAGAGCACGACGATTGGACAGATGTGATGTGGAGAGAAAATTAACCGAGGCTGAATAGGAAGGAAGAAAAGTATTAATTTTCAAAATAATTTAGCATGGAGATGACGAAGTCTTCATATTCCTACCAAAAGATGACCATGCAAATGCCAAGATCACAAGTGGTAATCTTATGATTATTCTCTGAACAAACATTGAAACCAATGCTACTATAACAAGAGGAAAGATGCAATATCCGAGAATGCATACAGATTGGAAAAAGGATCTGTTCAAGGTACAGGTAAACAAAAAAGAGCGTTAATGACGCGGGCCATGCTTTGTAGAGCACAGACAGACTCGTATCTGAAATACTCACATCGAGCCACCAAGTAGTTTTGCATTGATGGTAATAATAATAGCACCGCACCATACGATCACAAAAGTTCCCGTGAATATGGGAACTTCCTGATTTGCAGGCGCTCTAACACTCAACATTCTATCCGGTGAAGAAAACACCATTTCTAATGTTATGAGTAAAATTTGATTCGAAACGAGATGGTTACGTAACTATAAAATCTTCCAAGAGTGCTTACATTGCCAACGCCAGACATAAAATCAGCGGTCCCCACAAGTCCCCTATGTAAGAACGAGTACAAATAAGTTATATAACAACTCGAGGCAAAACAAGTTATTGGTAGCTCGAGCCTGACTTACAATTACGAAGAACGTCCCTTTTTGCGGTTGGATGAAGAACTTGCTGCAGCTTCAATGCAACATTCCGAAGATCGCGAAACTAATCCGAAACGGATACAATGTTTGAACGAATGTACTAAAATCTTAGTCTCATATATAAACTAATCACTCCAGCGCATCTTTTCAACCTTCTCTTACTCGTATCATAATAGTTCTATCTCCTCTCGTTTTCGTTAAGCTCACAATCCTTTTCTCACTCAACGTACAATAGTTTCAGAGACTGGTTCATCCAAAGTATCACTAGCAAATCTTCTTCCTTCTGAACTCAGCCCTCTACTTCCTATAGAACCTGTGACTATTGGTGGCTGTGTCTCTACATTCACCACAGTCGCCGAACTGCTCGCTTTTCCCGTTACCTTGCGTGTTGGAGGAGGAGCGGAAGATCGTGAAGCTGGTGGGGTGCGGGTGTCTCCGAAAGGACGATTGGCATCGTCGGCATCAGGTTCTATGGTTGTAGTGGCGTCGTCGATTTCGAAAGGATTAGCATAAGACGCTGTATTGGAATGTAACGGGGAGGAGATCTCGTCTACTGGAGAAAGCATACTGTGAAGTGAAGGAAAAGGACGGGAATAAATAGGAAAAACAATGTAAAAAGGAGGAAAGAGACGACCCGACTATGGGCTTACCTCGAATTTTATCGTTATTGTTATAGCTGAAAGAGTAACGTTAGAATTTTCAATCGATTTCTCAACGGAGAAAACACGTGACTGTGTGTTGTTTGTGATACAGCGAAGGAATGTCAAAAACGCAAAAGTTTCGTTTTTGATACACCAGGAGTTCCGTTTTTGATAGATCGGCAAGCACCCCAAATTTTGGTTCCTT